TGTAGGGAACCTGCTTTGGCAGGGGGGTTGGACTGGATGATCTCCTGAGGTCCCTTCCAACCCCACCATGCTGGGATTCTGTGATTCGGTTTGGTTGGAAAAGACCTTTGAGATCATCGAGTCCAACCGTACCTGTCCACTACCAAACCAGATCTCTGAACACCTCAACTACCCATCTTTTAAATCCCTCCAGGGATGGGGACTCCACCACTGCCCTGGGCAACCCCTTCCAATGCCTCAGAACCCTTTCAGCAAAGAAATTCTTCCTCACATCCCATCTCAACTGCCCTGGCCACAACTGGAGCCCATTTCCTCTTGTCCTGTCCCTTGGGCCTTGGTTGAACAGACCCACCCCCACCTCTCTCCACCCTCCTCCAAGGGACTTGCACAGAGCCACAAGGTCTCCCCTCAGCCTCCTTTTCTCCAGGTTCAACACCCCCAGTTCCCTCAGCCGTTCCTCGTAAGATCAGAGCAGTCCCTCTGCACAAACCTGTGCACCAGCAGCGATTCCTGTCACCCTGAGCTGATCAAACGAAACCTGCAGAGCCAAGTGAAGCAAGAACTCAGGAAAATCTGGAGGGGCAAGTCAGTCCTGGAGGCGTGTGGACTGAGTGATGAAGGAGAATGAATCACTTTTGCCTGTCAGGGAGGGACGGATGCTGTAAGCTGCAGAAAGGAAGGCAGAGGAGGATTGAGCCTGACCTGAATAGACATCACTGAGTCAGGAAGAAGCTTTTTCCAGCAAAGGGAAACAAGCTGCTACTCTCCAATACTGCTGAAAGTGGCTGTTGCTGGGTGAAGTCCCTGGAATGTTCACTGAGCTGCTTCTGTCATTCATGGTCTTTTTTATTTTCTTTTTCTCCCCCTCACATTCATGCTCAGTAGGATCAAAATGACTTTTAATCTTTCCTGTCTGTCAAAACCATTTTATTCAGCATTGGCATCTAATTTCCCTCCAGCTCCAGCTCTATTACAAACTAATCCAGGATCTGTGCATATAAGAGGCCCAAAATTCTCTCTGTCTGATGCCGACAGACACACAAAGGAGGCTCTGTTCTTCCTGCTGCTATCTGCTGCTTGCTCCTGGCTCTATGGGCAGTGGGGAGGAGGGGATCAGAAAATCCTTTGGTTGGAAAAGACCTTTGAGATCATCAAGTCCAACCGTACCTGTCCACTGCTAAACCAGATCTCTGAGCACCTCACCTACCCATCTTTTAAATCCCTCCAGGGATGGGGACTCCACCACTGCCTTGGGCAACCTGTTCCAGTGCCTGAGATCTTGGTCTCCTGGTGTGGGTGGGTGATGTTAGAGTGGGACAAGGAGGGTGCACACCAGCCACTGGCTCAGTGAGGGACAACAGATTGACCTAAGGAAAGACTGACTACCTGAAGGTCTACCCACTTGGCCAGACACAGCCAGCCGTGTGCTGCCCAACAGTGCTCCCAGACATTTAGAGATGTTGGTGCTCAATTGTGCCAGTAACTCCTCTCCAGTGAGCCCAGGTCACCAGGGGCCATTCAGTGTGCTGGGGCTGATTGGAGACCTCCTGGAGGAGAGGGTGTGCAGAGCTCCTGCAGCACTGACCGGACTTTGTCAGAGCAGAGTCTTCTTGGTTCTCCTTAGATTTAGTTCAGTGAGGGGTTTACACTTAAGCACAGAGCAGAAGAGGAGTGGTGAAGACATTCATACCTGCCGGAAGGTCCCCGTTGAGGTGAAGAAACAGTAGAGCATATATCCTGGAATCAGTATCATGGAGGACAAAGCCATGAGCCAACCAATGCCTTGTCCCCATGTAGGATAGATGTATTTTCCCAGTGTCGGAGGGGTCATTTCCACCACGCTGAAGAAGAACACACCCTGGGAAAAGAGTACCAGCCGTTGTGGGTGAAGGTGTGCAAAATCAGGGGCCACCTATCCATCCATCCATTTTTTCCTTCACTGTCCTCTGAGATCCCAAGAGTCTTACAGAAACTAACAGCTCCTTAAACTAGTCTAATTGCTCTCAGCCCACCAACTGGCAATTTTCAGTCATTTCTCCCCTGATTGTCCTGTGTAAATAGCTGGAACTGGGATCCCCATTATTTCCTTCTTCACCAGACTACTCAGACAAGCACTGTCCCCACACCAGCTCCTCAGCAAGTCAACAGCAGCCTCACAGATGGCCTCTGGAGTCTTCATCTTCCTATCAATGGCCTTCTCCTGGCATTCCCTGTATGTCTGCTGGAAGTGCAGGAGCCAGGAATGGCTAACTTGCTCTGCAGTCAGTTATACTACATTTACTGATGTCTTGTGCTCTCACAAGCCTATCAGGGGCCGAGGCTGGAGCTGGAGGAGCTGAGAGTCTCCACCAGAACCAATAGTAGCTTTTTAAAACAGTTTAATTATTCGCTTCTCTTTTGGCATCTCAGAAAGAAGAACGAAGGACTGATGGCTTTATTTAGAATAAATCATCACCTAGAGTTTTTCTTACAGGTGTTTTCCAGCAGGCAGAGTGAAAGAGGCTCCTGTATTGGTTTATCCATCTCAGGTCTGCCTAAAACCACCTTGTACCAGACCTATAGTGGGTTGAGAACATAGTGTTTCCCTTACAACCCATCCAAAAGAAGAGGTCCTTCTGGATCCACTCCTGTAGGTAAGATGCCTCTGTTCTTACCAGGCAGACAAGAGGAGTGAAGAAAGCCCAGCAGATCTTCCACCAGATACAAGGTTTGTAGCCAATCATTTCTTCAATGTTCCTGTAAAATCTGTTCACACCTACAAGAAGAAATGAGTGTGGAAAAAAACATCCCATCTCAGCACCATGGTCATCACCTCTTCCCATCACACAGGGCAGGCCAGCCACAGCAAGAGGGTGATGATGCTGTGGCAGGAGAAGCATTATCTGGAGGGGCTGGGGTATAGGGACATGAAAGCAGATTTGTGTTAGAAGCTTCCATGTTCCTGGTGTCCTCTTGATGGACCAGAGGGCAGGACCCTAGGCATCTGCCATTTTGTGCAGAGAGCTTTGTGGTGGCCTGGGGAAGTGACATGACACTCTCTTGCTCTTGATTTTCTGGACTTATCAGATGAAGATATTTTCAGTGGCAAAGTTTTCACTGGCTTCACTGTGGGAGGCTTCTGACATAACTCACCGTGCCCGTGGAGAAAACAAAGAAACAAGGTCTTGTGTGCTTACCATAACACCAAGAGATTGAGATGGTCTCAAAGAAGACAAGAAAGAGAAGACACATGCCACTGGCTGAGTAGTAATCGAACAGCTTGAAGACATAAATGCCACCCTGAGGAGACAAAACCAGGGTGAAGGAGTTTAGTTATAGATTAAGGTTGATAATATCAGCCGGCTGCTTGGGTTGCTGCTCTCTGTGTCTGCTGGCTTTAATGTTAATTTCCTTGGACAGTAGAGCCAGTGGTGCAATGATTCCACTGGAGCCTGATTCCCAGTGGCAAAACTGATGTGCTCTTGCAGACAATTAGCCAACCTGTTCAGGCATGGCCAAGGGTGAGGAGATAAGCAGGGATCCACCAGGATTTCTTATTTTTCTCTGGTTTAGATGAAGTCTCTTAATTTAGTTTGTTCTGCCCCGCCCAGGAATTTTGCTGCCTTGCCTCCTCATGGACCTACCCTGCTCTACAAATGGTCTCCAGACCATTCAGCCCTGATTTCCATACATGTGAACCTTGGCTTCAACCCCCAACAGACTGCTCTTCTTTAGGTTACCTTAACCCCTTGCACTAAGCATTCCATTAGCTTGGGCTCTGTTGGCTTTAGCCTGTATTGCAAATAAGCAAAAGAGTGAGCCAGACTGACAACAGGGTGATGGTAAAAATTATGGAGGCATCTGAAGTCACTTGAAATGTGGCAGTGGTGGGTAAGCCCATTTCTACAGCATTAGGATAGCTCCTAGGGATGCTGTCACTTCTCCCACAGCTTTTGGTGTTGCTGTGTTAAGCCAGAGTGACTAGAAAGGTGTTGTGAATGGAGGTACCAGCACGGCTCTCTGTACCTGGGTGATGTTGGAGAATCCAATGAGATAAGAGATGAAACAGACTACTGCAATGAAGATCTTCTTCCTGGCTCTCAGGACATGAGGATACTCATCGATCAGGGCTGTGATGAAGCCTTCCACAGTGCAGAACTATGGGAAAAGGTATACACCAAAGACACATACCTAAGTATCATCAGCCTACCATCATCACCTCCAACATTAAACTCCAATGTTATCATCCTCGTTGCTTTGAGTGCTCTCTGCAGACACTAGAACAGAAGGAGGCACCTCTGCACAAAGTTGGTCCAAACCACCTTCTGAAAATGCCTCTCTCCCTCCACTGAATATAGAGGGAGCTAAAAGCACCAGGGTTAAATACCTAAAATTAGCTGAGATAACTCTCCACTTTCTGCCTCCCATGGGAAGCCTCTTCTTTCTTCCTCTGAACTCTGGAGGGCCTCCCAACAGCTGCCCTGCTCCCCAGTGCTGTCAGGCTCTCTGTCACAGCAATGGGCTGTCTGCTGCTGGGACACGTGCAGGACCTTGCTTCACAGAATCACAGAATCCCAGACTGGTTTGGGTTGGAAGGGACCTTAAAGCTCATCCAGTTCCAACCCCCCTGCCAGCAGCAGGGACACCTTCCACTAGACCAGGTTGCTCAAAGCCTCATCCAGCCTGGCCTTCAACACTTCCAGGGAGGAGCAGCCACAGCTTCTCTGGACAACCTGGGACACTGGCTCACCACCCTCACACCAAAGAATTTCTACCTAATGTCTAATCTAAACCTGCCCCCTTTCAGTTTAGAGCCATTTCCTGCTGCTTTCAGGAGTGATGAGGGGCTGGTCATTGTCATTGCCTCCTGGTCTCACCCTTACCCTGTGAGTGCACTTGTGCATACGGGGGGGACACACGTGCACACCTCCCACGTGCATGCACACTTCAGTCCAAAAAGTTTAATTTTTCTCACCAAATGCCACAATTTTTAGCATGGATTCTGTTCTTCCTCATGCCTTCCTCATCCCATGATATTGTTTCTCTCCTACAGATTTTCTCTTTCACTATTTTTTCCCCTTTAAGGGCTTAATCATTATGCAAGCTGCTGTGTCCAACAATTTGGGCTTGGAAGTCCATATAGGTGGCACCTTGGTCTGAATGAAAGTCTGTCTCCTATCCACTCTCACTGTCAAGATCTTGCTATCCCCTCTGCTGTGCAGAGCTCCCAGACTGGGACCTACGGGGGGTTTGACCACAGCTACCAGATGAGAAGAGTGGATCTCACTGCTGGCAGCTGGAATTCCTCATGAAAAACCTCTGAGAGATGGCTTCACATGAGATAGAGGCAGGCTTGCACTCACAAGGCTTGCTAGATCCCTTGGGGAGAAAAAAAATCATCTGACCTGGAAACTGGTAGGTTAAAAGAAAGCATTAGCATATTATGCAAGAAGGTCTAGACTCATGAGAGCTAAAGGCTGGATGGATCAGAGGCAGAGGGAACATGAAGGCACACGAGCAGCAAGGGGGGCACAGGAGGGAGGCGTGTGTCTGTCAATATAGGTCATTCCATCCTCTTCAAGTAGCTGCAGATGCAACGAGGACCCTGGCAGAGAATGTGCCCGTGCTGCATCTGCAGAAGAGTTGCAGTCAAAGGGAATGAATTTTCCTGTGCAACCTGCTGTAGGGAACCTGCTTTGGCAGGGGGGTTGGACTGGATGATCTCCTGAGGTCCCTCCCAACCTGCCACTCTGGGATTCTGTGACCCAGGTGGACCCACTCCCACCATCATTATGGGGCTGGGGCTTGTCTCTGCATTGCAAAGGGAGATCTCAGCCAACCATAAACCCAACACTGCCAATCCCACCTCTAACCCATGTCCCTCAGCACCTCATCTGCCCATCTGTTAAATCCCACCAGGGAAGGTGACTCCAGCATCCCCCTGGGCAGCCTGTTCCAGTGCCTGACTGACCTTTGGGTGAAGAAGTTTTTCCTCAGATCCAATCTAATGGTGTGTTTGATTGAATCAGAGTCCATCGCGCAATCAGAAAGCTTCTTCACATGTATTTTCAGTGCTTTTTTTTTTTTAAAAAAAAAGCTTGTTTTCTTTTTGATGCTTCCTCCTCCTCCTCCTCCTCCTCCTTCTCCTCCTCCAGGCAATGATAGCCCCCCATGGACTTCCTGCCCTCCGAGACTCACTGTCAGAAGGGACTCGGAGAATTTCAAGTGGTATTTCAGAAGCAAATGTAGCAAATAAATTCCACACGGTGCTTAGAGGGCTCGTTGTCATGTCTTGAACTATTTACCAGCCCTGAGTGAATAATCCATGCAGAGTATTTTTTTTTCTCTCTGTAAATGTAGCTTCTTTTGGAACATCTAGTTGTTTTGTTTGAAATTAGCTGCCAAATAATGTCTGTGGTAATGCAGATGTGAGCTTTACAATGAGTGTACTGGAACTGAAAACCAGATTGGGTTGATTAGATTTTCCTGGAAAGCAGGTGTGACATTTCAGGAATAAGTCTGAGACTGATTATAAACTAGATTTGGGATTATGAGCACTACCTGTAATCCAAGAGAACATCCATTTTGGACCCGTGGTTTGTTTGCACTGTAAGGAAGGAGCACATGGGCACTGGGGAGGATGTGACAGACCAAGCACAGGCTTTGGAAGGAGCCTTTGATTTTGATGAGCTCAAAAAGGAGTCACAGTGCAAGTGACTGCTTCCCTGGGGAGCTACTTCTGTGCTGAATTATCAGAAAAAAAGTATTACTGCTTGTAAAAATACAGAGACCATCGTTTGTTGTTGTTGTTTTGAGGGCTCTGAGAGGGACAGGGCAGAGACCTTTTGCTCCATCCGGCTGCTTCCCCATCAAATACTTTGTACCTTATCTAATGGCAAAGCAGTCAGGGTACCCAGGCACACGGCTCCGTCCTGCTGCCAGGGTCTGTCCCTGCTCACCTGCAAACCGGGACAGGGTGCTCCTGCTCTGCTCAGAGCCACTTTTGTTATTGCCCGGGCCAGAGCTGGGTCTGTTCAGCAGCTGGAACAGCGCTGGGGTTTGGGTTCAGCTGGGGTTTGGTAGGAGATGAAGGTTGGTAACATACTAATGTTTCCAGTTGTCTCTGGAAGTTGAAGGACTCTGTGTTTTGCTAATCTGCAGGTGCTGAGATCTCAGGGGTGAGGAATATTGCAATGGATCAGCTCCATGGGCATTGGGCTCTGCCAAGGGGCTGTTCCATCTCCTGTCCCCCATGGGCAGGAGATCCATGAGGGGCTCTTCCTCTCTTGCTCTCTCTGGCTTTGGCTCGGGCTCTGGCTCTCCCGGGATTGCGGTTTCGGGTCGGGATTGTGGCTCCTGCGGGATCGTGATCTGGGAACGGGCCGGGCTTGGTCGGCGGGTGCTGAGCAGTTGCACTGTGTTATTACTCATTTGCATATCTTATTACTATTATTATTATTTGAATATCATTATTATTTAAAGTTTTCTTTTACATCAATGATGTAATTGTTGTTCTCTTCCCCTAGGAGTCTCCTTCTCCTTGCCCCCCAGTTCTCTCTCCTATCCCCTGGGTGCATTGAGTAGTGGATCAGGTACCACCAAACTTGCAGTATCTGCCCACCTTAGGGAAGAATGCAGAGGCGGTGGCCACACAGGGGACTTTGATTCATGCAGTTGTATTAAGAGTAAGAAAAGACCCCACTCAGCATTGCCCGAAGGTGCAGAAGGGGACACCAGCATCGTATCTGAAGATAATCATCATATCTTACCCTACTCTGTCCCTGGGTCATCTCACCTGACTATCCAGACCCAACATCATCAGCATGGAGAAGAAGAGGATGGACCAGAGAGGGGACAGGGGCAGCTCTGTGACCACCTGTGGGTAGGCGAGGAAAGCCAGTCCAGGACCTGTGGTAATGAAAAGAGGGATGAGCCCATCTTCATAAAGCATTTGATGGGAAGTCTGGGTGAAGGGCCACAGCTGAACAGAGAGACAACAATCCCAGGCAAGGGTTGGAGGTATTTAATATAGGAACTAGGAACACCTGAGTCTTTGCCCACGACACACCACCCTGGTGGGTACCCAGGGGTAGGATGGGGAGGGAGGAATGACTGGAGAAATGCTTGGCCTTTTCTATTCCTGCAAGCAAGAAAGTCATCAAATTACAGCTACCAAATGGAGCTGGAGCACTTTACTAGAAAAATAAACTGGTATTCAGGGCTGGTTATGACTTTTCTGATGGCTTTTTTTTTTTTTTTTTTTCCATCACAAAATGCTATTCCTTGAGATAAAAGCTTCCTCCAGGAAGATTGCACTTTCAAAATATGTCTGTGCAAAAAAGACACAGTCCCATCTTGGTTAAAAACTTATTCTGAGATGACCGTTTCAAAATTTTGCATGGAAACGTGACTCTGAATTTCTATCACGTCTACTGAAAACATAGGCAGTGTCTATTCTCTGTAGGAAGGTTTCAGACAACACATGGCCTAAATATTTCATAGAACCACAGGCTGGTTTTGGGTGGAAGGGACCTTAAAGCTCCTCCAGTTCCAACCCCCCTGCCAGCAGCAGGGACACCTTCCACTAGACCAGGTTGCTCAAAGCCTCATCCAACCTGGCCTTCAGCACTTCCAGGGAGGGGGACACATCCAGGGAGGGGGATTTCACTGCAAAACTTCAACATTAAAAGAAGGTGAACATTAAAAGCAAGCGGAGATGTCCCTTGCAACCAGAGTGTGATGAATATCAGCCACAGGTACCTGAGACCCATCCCATGGGAGGGCTTCACACCTGGATCCTGGTCAGGAAAGGCCTGGGAGCTTCCCGTGCTCACTGACAAACTGCTCTCAAAGGTTGCTGTTGCCTTTGAGCCTGGGTTTCTCCTTACCTGAGGAGGCCAGCTCTGAGATGGACTTCTTTGTGACATGCGACATGAAGCCAACGATAGAGAAAATAACAAATCCGGCAAATATGCTTGTGGTGGAGTTGATACAGCAGACAATAATGGAGTCTCTAGAAGAGAGAACGAGAGAAAAGAAACCACCTGCAGGTCCCTATCAAGAGGCCAGGAGTGAAGGGTGGGATAAACAAAGATCAGGCACCCCAGACTCACCCTGACCGCCTCCCTCACCCATGAGCACTCCCCACCACACAGGAGGCTGGAAAAAACCCAACAGACCTGTAGACGTTGTTGTGGAAAGTGTTGTAGCTCCCCAGTGCAATCAGGGACCCCAGCCCCAGGCCATAAGAGAAGAAGATCTGCGTGGCTGCATCCATCCAGACCTGTGGAGAAGCAGATGGTTTTGAGTCCATCTTCCTCCCCATGCCAACGCCACCACATCCCCCTTTCTCTGAGACACCAGATTGAGGACAAACCACCAGCCCTGGGACAGTTAATGAAATAAGGCATTTTTAACACTTGAAATATTCAAGGGAAGTGCCTAAGGAAGGCTAATGCAGAGACAGGCAGGAGGTAAGAGCTTTCCTCACGAACCTCGGAGTCGGAGAGCTTCCTGAAGTCAGGTGTGAGGTAGAAGAGGATCCCCTCCTTGGCTCCCGGCAGCGTGACTCCCCGGAAGAAGAGGATGAAGAGCATGAAGTAGGGGTAGGTGGCCGAGAAATACACCACCTGTGAAAGATATCATGGGAGAGAAACCCCTCAGCCCACCAGTGCCCAGGAGGTCTCCTGCCCATGGTGGCATGGGGTCCGGCGTGTGTCCCTGTGAGGAGGAGGACATGGGCTCCCTGCACATGACTTTTTTGGGCAGCATTTCCTTGGGTTTTCTGCCTCTCATTCCCATTCTAGTAACATTTCTGGCTAATGTTTGAGGTTTCTCTCTGCCAATGACACGCAAGAACGCCCTCATCGCAAAAGTAGCACGCTGAAGTATGGATGAATTGCCCAAAGACAGGGGAATTGCACAGGGATAAATTTAGTCCCCAGAAGTAATCCCTTTAAGTCATCACATCCTTATTTTGCAGAGCTAAAGCTGGTGTTTCTCTGGTCCAATGCGTCAAGCAACATGAGTCGTCTTGACACCACCACTTGTTTTTCAACACTGTTTCCAGGACTGGCAGGTACGTGCCATCCCTCGTCACAGGGTCTGTACCAGGAATCACCGTGGCTTTGCTGTGGCCACACAAATAGAATCTGCTTGAGAGCCACCAGTGAAGTTAACATCTTAGGTGACCTACGCCTGGAGTGCTTCTTTCTGATCTCTCCTCTAGATGATTCCTTTCATAATATTGTTCCCCCTACACCATGCTGTGCTCTAAATAACACAGCTCAGTATCTCAGCATCGCTGTTTCACTCAGCTAAGCAATTACCTTTCTGCTGTGCTAGCCTGAAATGCTACGTAGTGAATAACAACCTGCTTCTGATCTGCAGGTCTCCCACCAATCCCTAAAGGGCAGCAAGAAAATTTGCAAAGAAGGTGAGGAGGTTGTTTGTTTTTTTTTTCCCACCAGCACCATGATTTTCAAAAGGGGGAAGTCCAGAAGGTGGGAAATATAAGTAATCTCCAAAAATCTGTTCCCAAGTCCTTCAGAGAGACTAAGTGCTCAGACCATGACTTTACGGGGAAGAGTTCTCTGAATTCAGGATGAAAATTACCATAAATGCAGTAGCAATTTTTACAACCATGAAAGGCAAATGTCAGAAGTTTAATAGCATCTACCATGATTCTACCTTATAGAATCAGGGAATGGTTTGGGTTGGAAGGGACCTTAAAGCTCATCCAGTCCCAACCCCCCTGCCAGCAGCAGGGACACCTTCCAATAGACCAGGTTGCTCAAAGCCTCATCCAACCTGGCCACAAACACTTCCAGGGAGAAGCAGACACAACTTCTCTGGCCAACCTGGGACACTGTCTCACCACCTACCTTGAAACATCATAACCTCAGTTACAGCCACTCAAACAAAATTGAGTCCAAGGGGACATTTCAACAGCCGAGACCCAAGCGCGGCAACGCGAGGCAGCACCGAAACACCTGGTCCTGGTGCCATACCTTGCCCGTCCACTCCACGCCCTTCCAGATGGAGAAGTAGACCAGCAGCCAGGCTAGGGCCAGCGTGCCAGCCAGGGGCCAACGGATAGTGCCAGGCTCCCCCAGGCTCCCGGACATCTGGTGCATGTTCCTCCTAAGAGTGGGAGAGGTTGTGTTAAGGTGAAATCCAGCCCTTGGGGACTGAGGGTCTGGAGATCCCGGAGGTGGATGGAGGGGAAAGGTCCAGGTGCAAACAAGCATGAGAACCCACAAAACCCTAAAGGGAGCTGAGGCTCATGGTCATGGGATAAAGGAAGGAGAGGTGGAGGGGCTGTCATCCCCTCTATCCATCTGACCTGCGGCTGCACAACGCACCCCACGCCCATGCCCACCCGGGGGCCAATGGTTGGCTCTGACCCCCCCTCCTGCCAAGGCTGTCCCAGGAAAGGTGCCACAGCCCCGGTGAGCTGGTGTGATGGCCACGGCGAAGGGGAGAAACCTGGTGTAGGCAGGCTGGGGACGTACTCCCAGAACTCGGTGACGGCACTGGTGAGGTTGGTGGTGTCGCTCAGGGAGTAGTTGGAGAAGCAGCGGTCGGTGTTCCAGGTGTTCCCACAGCTCTGCCAGGGCAGGTCCTGCGTTGGCACAAGAGCAGGGTTATCATGAATGCACCCTCTGCAGATGGCAGTGGCAAGAGGCAGAATTTGTCTTTATTTAAACTGAAACCCCCTTTTTTTGGTGTTTTTTATTTTTAGGGTTTTTTTGGCAAAGAGGATGGGTGGCTCCTCTGATGGGCATGAAACCTTGCACCCAAAGCATGAAACCATTTGCAAAAAATAATGAGAAATGGTCACATGGATTTTCCAGGAAACAATATCATGACGTGATTAGGACAATGCTGTAGCTCTCAGAAAACCTTAGCAATTCCCCAGAGAGAAAGCCATTTCCAATTAACTGTTGGTAATTAATAGCTGCTCATAAAAATAGCTACTGGGGGATATTGTGTTTCGAATCCTTACAGCTTTTGACTAGCTTCACTCAACAAGTGGTTGGATTTTACTACACCAAGAATAAACCCTGATTTATTTCTCCTCTCTCATTCCTACCCAACTACAATACTTAAAAAGCAACGTAGTGTTGAGAACGAGGACTGACGGCTTGTCCACATGAACAAACCGCTGTGACAGAAGCCCAGGAGTAAATTTAAAGCGTAGTAACTGTTTCATGTCTTGATTATAAGCAGGACAAAGGGATTCCTGGGAGGTGTTTACACTGTAGGTAGCGGTGTGACGGCAGCAGATTGAATACAATCAGCTCTGGAGCTGCAAGCAATGAAACGGCAGCGTCAGGGGCTGTGTGAGCACACAGGACACCTCGCCCACGCCGTGTCCTGCCACAGGAGCCCAAGGTGGCTCAGGTACATCTCCATGTGCAGCAGCCTCCTTTCCCTGAGTGCAGTGCATGTAGAGAAATGCAGAAGGGCTATTCTGGAGGGTTTCTCTCTGCAGATAAGACCTCAAGTTCCAGCTCAATAAAGCTTTAAGATGTTTGTTCCCATTCCTACTCACCCACGAACACAGACCCCCCCCTTGTAGAAAGATTATCTGTGGTTTTAAGTGCTTTGTGGCATCAGTGCTGCCTTCACCTCATATCTCAATCAGCTCACTCCAGCAGATGACACCTCCTAACGTGCACGCTGACTTGGCAGGAGAAGGGTTATGGAGGGGCAGGTTGCCATGGTGGCCACCCAAGCTGTCTGCACCCACCCGGTGATTTCATTGTGCTAATTGCACTGAAGCAAACGCGACGGTTCAAGCAGCACCGCACAGCAGCCCTTCAACCTCTGATGTTGGCACTTCAGAGGTGCTGCAGAGAGGGGCAGGCAGGGGGATGCTTTGTGGCTGCTCCGTTTCCTCTGAATTTCAGAAGACAGAAACTGTAGAAGGCAAGCTGGGTTGCTTTCACCACCATGAGGGTGGCGAGACACTGGCCCAGGTTGCCCAGAGAGGTGGTAGAAGTCCCATCCCTGGAAACATTCAAGGCCCAGGTTGGATGAGGCTTTGAGCAAGCTGGTCTAGTGGAAGGTGTCCCTGCTGCTGGCAGGGGGGTTGGAACTGGATGAGCTTT